CTGCGTGGTGTACGGGGCAGCGGGGAGCGCCCCTCGCCCGTCCATCCGGTCGCCCGTTAGTGCCATTGCGGGTGACGGAAGGGAGGCCGAGTGCCGGGCCCCCGTCGGAAATTCCTGCCGCGAAAATTCTTCCTTCTGTCCCCCGACCCCCGAGAGAGAGAGAGAGAGAGAGAGAGAGAGAGAGAGAGAGAGAGAGAGAGAGAGAGAGAGAGAGAGAGAGAGAGAGAGAGAGAGAGAACGAGGCGGCCATGTTGGATTGTGACGTCACGAGGGCCAGCGTCCCCCCCCCCCTCGGTTGCCTTTCTCTCCGCGTCGTTCCTGAAGGCCCCCGAGGCGCAGGTGGCACCGAAGGAGCCTCGGGATGAGCAGTCGACTCTCGAGATTAAAACGTTTCTGCGGGTTCCTCGTCGTCGATTACAGTTAATCCGATGATGACTGTAATGGAGCAGATGTTCCCCCGTGCGCTTGCCTCGGCCCGGCCCTGTTGCAGCACAAGCAGCCCGTTGTAGCGCCTCGCTCGCTCGCACGTCAGGCTGGTGCGCTGTTGATGTTTATCTGGCATGCGATCTGCGTCGGGCCCAGATACGGCGCGGGTCGTAATTCAGCCTCGCGAGGTAATGATGTTGATTCGCGCAAATGGCGGAGCAGGACGGGCGGGGGAGGAGGAGGAGGGGGAGGGGAGGGGGAGGGCGCCGGGTTCGAGGAAGACATTAGTCTCTCTGGGGTTCGAACACGCTTAATTGATGTTATGACTGACGTTCGGATGGGGGGGGGGATTCTGGAGACAGGGAGAGGGGGAGGGAGGAGGGGAAGGGAGGAGGGGGAGGAGGGGATGGGTGGAGAGGGGGATGGGTGGAGGGAGGAGGAAAGGGGGGGGGTGGAGGAGGAGGAGGAAGGGATGGAGAGAGGACAGGGAAGGGGGGGAGGAGGGTGGGTGGAGGGAGGAGGAATGGGTGAGAAAGAAGGAGAGGGAGAAGGAAAGGTTCTGGGGAAGGACTAGGAAATGGGTGAGTTGATAGTACGCGAAAGAGAGGGGGAGGAGAGAAGAGGAGGAGAGAAAGATGACCGAGAAAATAAGGACAAAAGTGAAAAAAGAGGTAGATAGGGTTTGGATGAGGGAGAGAAAGTGTGGTAAGGGAGAAAGAGAGACTAGGTGTAGGTAAGGGAACGAGAGAAAAAGGTGTGGTTGAGAGAGAGAGAGAGAGAGAGAGAGAGAGAGAGAGAGAGAGAGAGAGAGAGAGAGAGAGAGAGAGAGAGAGAGAGAGAGAGAGAGAGAGAGAGAGAGAGAGAGCGCAACTTGGAGAGGGGAGAGAGAGAGAGAGAGAGAAAGCGAAATGAAAGAAACAAATATATAAACAGAGAATGGAAAGCACAGAGGAGGAAGACACTCCGCTGAGCGCAGGACCTTTCTCGGGCGCGGAGAGGTCAGCGAGACACGGGGCGCTGTCTGCTCTTTCGCCTGCTTTCCAAAATGTCATTAAGTCCTTTTGCGGCGGCGCTGCGCTTTCTCCCAACGGCCCGCTGTCATGCACGCCGGCCAAGCTGCACGGCCTGCGCGGTTGGCCAGTCGCATGCAGGCGGAGGCGGGCTTGGGACCCTTCTCAGCCCTGCGTGACTTCGTTAAGCTGGAGGCCGCCCGCCCGGTGGAGATGGACGAGGCGGCGACGCAGATGTTGACGCTCAGCTGTTTCTAAGGGGGGTCGGGGAGAGGGGAGGGTGGGGGAAACGGGGGGGTGGGGGGTGTGGACTGCAATAACCCGGATGTAACTGTTTTCTACGCATGGCCGAGCGGAAGGAAATTTCGAGATTGTGCATTGATGTATTTGGTTGTGGGTGTTCAGAAATAATCGTTCAAACGTAAACAAAAACAGAAGAAAACGAAACACACAAATACGAAATAAAAACGAACCGAGAAGAAAGAAAGACAAGACAAGAGATTGATCATCAAATAATGGCCATACGACGCGCTTGAATACAGAAGAAGACTGAATCGGGTCCGCATGATCGGCGTCGGCAGGAAGGTAAACATCCCGCGATGACTCTCTCGTGAGGCGCGGAAGTTGAGACAGTCATCGTTCGGGGGATCGGCTCCGTGCGGCTCAGACTGAGGCTCTGACTGAATGTTGAGGATTATTGAAAGGATTCCCGGCGTTGAAGGAAGTGTCGGAGGAAAGCACAGGAAGCTCACCCACGACTAGTTATGTTTATTTACGTGATCTCGGGTTGATGTTTATTTTGCTCTCGGATTTGGTTACGTCCACGTCTAATGCGGATGAGATTGTATACACTCTCGCATAAATTCGTACAAGGATATTACCTTTTTGGGGCTTTTGGGGGTTGTTGTGGTCAGTGCGGGTAATACGCGGCAGAACGGGTGTCCAGACGAGACGAATCGACTCTTCTAAATGTCAAAACGTCAGGTACGGAATGGGAGCGAGGCGAATGCTAATCCGTCGACTCTTGATCTGAACCGACTGCTTCGTAAATCGGTTACTTGGGTTTTACTTTTTTTTTCCTCTAGGTTATCATTTTCATTAAATTTGAGGTCCAAGTATGTACATTGTTATAAAAAAGTAGGTATTGTTTTGTTATTGTATTAGGAGGGCCTTATATATTGGTTACTTGGTTTCTACTCTTTTCTAGATTGTTCAGTTTTCATTAAATTAGAGGTCAAGAAGTATGTATAATTGTTATAGAAAGAGAGGTATTGTTATCTTATTATATTAGGAGTGCCTTATATAATGGTTACTTAGTCACATTCAACATTTAGAGAGCTTTTTTAAGATTGTCAAATTTCATGAAGCGTTTATGTTTGAGGTCAAGCAGTGTATAGTATTATTTTCTGTTAAAATGGTGTATTGCTATCTGATTATGATATAACTGTACTTCATATGTTCTTTGGATATCTCATAAAACCGTGAGAGGTGAATGTTATGTATGTATAAAGAATAACCATAGTAACCAAGAGAATAGACGAATTTGAAGTTGTGTTACTACTTTAGTAAGTTAGTGAAGTAGTGTTAGACGCAATAGGTAAACTTGTGTACTTAATATTGCTAACTACCATGTGTATTTCGGAAAGCACCAGCGGGAGTGTGTCTGGCGATACCCGCATGCAATAACAATGAATATAATATCGTCGACTTTTCCTGGTGGATAGTGGAACGGGGCGATGAAATACCGTAGAGTTTTGACAAAAGGCATTATTGTTATTATTATTTATTATTATTATAAGCTACTGATTTGCTCCAATTTGCATCTCTGTAACTTGTCGTATCACAACTTGATAACCAGTATTAAAATTTTTATTATTTATAGTATAAAATTTCGTTTTATTTTCATTTTTCTATATTGTTGCAGTTAAAATAAGCCGAAAAAAAGTTTCTCTAAATTGTGGCCGAAACACCTACACCTAAAGCCACATCCTTTGTTCATTGCCTCCACCGCAAGCAAACAATTACCTCGGCAAGCACCACAGGGTTTAGTGCTTGCTTGTCCATCACAAAACGGGCGTCCCTCACAAGCGCTGGTCGGGTGCTTGCTTCTGTCTGTTACTTTCATTTAAACATTGGTATTTTTTTCTATTTTGCTTGTTCTTTCTCTCATTTTCTTTATATTGTTTGTTTTTTTTCTTTATCTCTCTCTCTCTGTCTCGTCTGTCTCTCTCTCTCTTCTCTCTCTCTCTCTCTCTCTCTCTCTCTCTCTCTCTCTCTCTCTCTCTCTCTCTCTCTCTCTCTCTCTCTCTCTCTCTCTCTCTCACACACACACACACACACACACACACACACACACACACACACACACACACACACACACACACACACACACACACACACACACACACACACACACACACACTTTTATTTCGCCCCCCCCTCTCCCTCCCTCCTCCCCTCCCTCCCTTCCCTTCACATCCCCTTCACACCGCCCCCCTTCACACCGTCTCACACCGCCCCCCCCCCTCACACCGCCCCCCCTTCACACCGCCCCCACCCCCTAACACCCACGTCGCCCAGAATGAGACTTTATGCTGGAATACTTCTGCAAAATTCCCCGAGAACTGGAGTCGTAAATTTATAATTATCCGGCGAGGTAATTGTCGGCAGGGGATGGGGGGAGTGGAGGGGGAGGGGAGGGGAGGGGGAGGAGTATGGAGGTGGTGGATGGGTAGGGCGGGGCTGGGGGTGGGGGGGGGAGGGAGGAAGGGGGGGAGGGTAGGCCAACGTCACGCCTGCTGAGGATGGAGTGTCCGAGGATGAGGTTGTGTGTCTGTGGGTTCCGTGTATTTTATGTCTGTCTGTCTTCTCTGTTTTAGTTTTTTGTCTTTTTTGTCTTCGTTAGTCTGTCTGCTGGTCTGTCTGTCTTTATGTATGTTTTTTTACTTTTTTTGTCTTAGTTTTATTTGCCGGTCTGTCTGTCTTTACGTTTTTTTTTTTGGGGGGGGGTTCTGTCTTTTTTTTGTCTTCGTAGTTCTATCTGGCGGTCTGTCTGTCATCATGTCTGTTTTTCTTTCATGTCTGGCTGTCTATCTGTCTTGGTTTCTGTTCCTGTCTTCTAGGTCTGTCTGTCCTTGTCTGTCTGTCTGTCTGTCTGTCTGTCTGTTGATCTGCACGTGGACCATTGAATAACTCGTCCGACAATCCTTTTTCCATTTTTCTTCCTTTTTTATTATTGTGGTTTGCCTGCTAGTGCACGACCTTTGTGACCCTCCGTCTCCTTCCTGGGCCGTGGTCGTGCGGGAAACAAACCGGGGTCGTGCATAGGGGTTGCAGGCGGGGGGGGGAGGGGAGGAGGGGGGGGAGGGGGGGTTGCAGGGAGGGGGGAAGTGGGAGGGGGAGGGGGAGGGTGTTGTCTTGTATCGGGGTAACAGGAGGTCCCGTGTTTGGAAGGAAAGGAAAGAGAGAGAGAGAGAGAGAGAGAGAGAGAGAGAGAGAGAGAGAGAGAGAGAGAGAGAGAGAGAGAGAGAGAGAGAGAGAGAGAGAGAGAGAGAGAGAGAGAGAGAGAGAGAAATGGAGATAAAACAAGAGGGAGGGAGGAAGTGAACGAGGAAGAGTGAGGGGAGAGAG